TTTTTTTTTTTTTTTTTTTTTTTTTTTCGGGGGGAAATCCTCATGGACTACCTCCGCCTGGGGAAAAGCGAAGGGGCGTGCCGGACTCCTACCGGCTAAAACCACCCCGGTGTCCACCCACACGTGCGCGCAGGGCCGCGGGAATCCACATTCTTCCGCAGCCCCACACCAGTGCTGGCCCGGTCTATCCAGGCCTCGTCTCCTGCACGGAGTAGTGAGGCGTTCAGCTACTCCGTGCATCGCCTCAGAGGCACGCGCCGACACCCGCATGCACCTCCGTCTCAGGTCCATCGAATAGGGGGCGAGGGCTTTCCCAAGTCCCTCGCCCCTGGACCCATTCATGGGGGGCGGAAAAGGGCGTTGTCCTTGGACAATAAAACCTAGCTCAACATAATATTCATTGAGATTGTTGTCAGATCTAGTTTTATTTCATCCATTCAATCGAGGAAAAAAATTCCTGATCAAAAAAACAGATAATTTTTAAATTGCATTCAGAAGTTTAAAACGCATGCCGAATGAATAAAATGTGTAGTGTAAATACGAATGCTTGTGTTAAGGCCAATAACGGACAAATGGAAAATCCGTTAGGTTTGTTGACAAGCGTTACGTCGCCTGGCAACTTAGCATACACGCGCCGAGGTAATGCATCAAATGTTTACTTATTTCATCGATTTTGCGACATCGCGATGAATTGTGAAATTGGCATTGCAGGGAGATAGTCAAATAGAGCTACCTATAAATACTTAAAATTTCAGGATGTAAAGCATCATTCGTCAACAGTCTTCAGCTGTTCCACAACCACCAAACATTGCAAAGATGAAATCTATTGTAAGTGTCAAGTGTATTTTGTGTCTTTTTTTTTCCTCAAACGTGAAACAGTCTATTGATCACCATTAGTGTACAAGTTCACTTATGTTAATTCTAAATATGTGGAGTTATACGTGAAACGTAACATGTACACTGCGTTCTCTATCTAGCTGTAATAATATAAATAATCAATCAATCAATAATCATTTTATAAAAATAAATTTGCTTCGATTCACAGGTGTTGGTTTCTATGCTGGTCGCAGTGGCCTTCGCCGCGCCTCAGGGGCCCACCGAGCCTATCCCAATTGTTCGCGACGACAGCCAAATCAACGGCGACGGGTCATACCAGTACGCTTTCGAAACCGGCAACGGTATTAGCGCTGACCAGAAGGGTGAACTGAAGAAGGTTGGCGACGTCGAGGCTCTCGAAGTTCAGGGCGAATTCAAATATCCCGGAGAAAACGGCCAGGACATCTCTCTGACCTACACGGCTGATGAGAATGGCTTCCATCCATCCGGCAGCCACTTGCCAACCAGTCCCCCAATCCCGGAAGCCATCCAGCGCGCTCTCGACTTCATTGCCACCGCCCCTCCTGCCCCTGCAGCCGCTGCCGCACAATAGATTCAATCTAGTCTAACTTTACAAATAGTTATTGTTTTGTTAATCGTTTTTTTTTAATTTTGTACCACAGATAAACATTTTAATATAATACTAATTCAATTTATGGCTGATTTTATTGATTAACAACCTTCGGAGTTTGAATACCAAAAAAAAACACATTTAAAGAATATATGTACCTAAAAGTTTCTAAAATATTATTATGTATTTCTAAATGTTTGTACTGTGGACATTAATTATTAAAAAGAATTATAACAAATCACAATATAACTATAAAATACTCTCTTATACAACAATAAAATGACGGTCCAAAAAAATTTTATCACACGGATACCAGTTTTTCATTTAGGCCTTTAATTATCATCAAAACATCACTATTAAATGACAAATTAATCACAACATTAAATTGCATTTTGAGCCAATTTTAATACATGCAATAAGTACATTTCAATGAAAGAATTTACAACACAGCACAAACCTATTATTATACAATTTGTATAAACGCACGAGTATCATTCGGTGTAATAATAATTGATAGATTCATGCGTTAACTGACATTTAAATGTAAAATAACAACACAGTTGTTCGTTGTGATTAGCCGATAGTAATGTCCAAGGGCACACCGAATGAACTTTCAAAGGCGTTTGGTTAAAAAAATAATTTAATGACCAAGAGATGGCTAATGAATATGCAGATTATAAATATTAAAATAACAAAATCGTCGATGATACACAGTATTTTTTTTTTAAATATTAGTCGCGACTTGTATGCTAAGCGTATGTTTCATTTTTGGTTCTAGAAATTTTATATACGCCCTAACCGTCGCACTTTCTCTATGTGAATAGGTTGACTACGTAAAATGAAGTGAATTCGAATAGTCTCAATTGAGATTTTGACGTCATGTTTCAATTTGAACATCGGCGTTCACAATTCGACTTTGATAAGTTCCGGGAGCCACGTAATACAAACCTGGTTTATGCCCTCGTCTGCTTATCTTATAAAATTCATACGCATGTACGAGATCGACTGATTTACGATTTCCAAGAACATAGAACTGTTTTCGATGCTAATTCTGAAACGTGACGAGCGAGTTCAATAGCTTGATTGCATAGAACTATTCAAATTTTAGATGAAACCATTCATCCTTCGTCTAGTTGGCCTTGAAATTATCCTTTACTGATAGTATCGAGTATGTAATTGTCAAGTAACGTAACTAGGTAGACGAGCGTTCTTTAATGTCATGCATGATTGTCGTTGTAAGTAATGTTGTGTTTTCAAATGTCAAACACATTAGTACATCTGCAGCCTCAATCTTATTGCTTAGTAGTTGTTCGTTTGCTGACCGTTGCACCATTAGGCCAAAACGGTTACGGCTGGTAAAATTCAATGATGAAAAAAAAACCGCATAAAGCATTTACATGTACTGGTAATAGTAAATTAGTAATAGTAAATAGTAGTACTGTTGGTAGGCACGGGGTGGCCGCTAAGATAAGTACCACCGTCCGGTTAGGGGGTCTACTGATTCTATCTGCGGAGCTAACCCCGAGAATTAGGCCAGTCGAAAGATTTCACCGATTACCCCTTTCTTGCCTGTTTTTGTGGCAAAGGAACTCTGCTGTCTGATTTAAAGGAATACAGAACAGGTTTATGGAAAGTACTTTAAGATACAACGGCCAGATTTACCATCATGCATGCATGCTCATCTGATTTCGATGGCTAAGAAAACATTATTAGAAAGAAACGGAGATATTGATTGACCTAAAGTCTTAAAGTAAGCGGTCACTTTATTGTTAATAGAGAGATCATGATCATCATCAAGATCATTCCATGTAATTCTCATGTCGTGTGTGGTTTCATCAAATACAAAAATGTTACACAGATATGATATTAGTTTATTACTATATTTATAACTTGATTATATTTTTCTAAATACACACTATTAATACACACACATATGGCACACCAAATAAAAAATAATACATGATCATACACTGCTGATAATTTTAATATTATATTATGACCAAATATTAATTTTATATTTTGTTACATTAATTTAGGGAAATTGTTAAAGTCAATAAGTTTCTAAGGGAGAATGTAGGGGAAGACGAATGTCACTTGTTTTTCCCCAAAATTTTCTGTTTTACTTGCCATCTGCAATCTACACCTTTTTCGTACTAGATTCGAAGAGATTTGAAGAGTGAGAAGAGTAAGAAATATTCTTTTGAAAACATATTCTTCAAAACTCCTAGGCATCCACTTTTCGATTTCCGCTTAATATAGTTATTTTTTTTAGTTAGTGAATAACTCATCCTGTTAAGATTTTTAGCGTATTAATCATTTTGAAAAGCTTTAAAGTAAAAAATAAAATTTAGATAAGTTACCGAAGTATGTTAATAAAAGGCACAATAAAAAAGTGACAATGTGCCATATTTTCTAAATTTACGAAAATTTAGTTGCAAAATGAGTAAAGCGCTAACACTATCATAATACATTTTGTAGTCAACTTTTCCTTATATTTTGTGAGCCATCGGTATTGCAGAGTATAACATACCGGATCTTATTTCTTAATAAAATTCATGAGTCACAAAATCACAATTATTATATTACAACTAACCATTTTCCCTTTGGATGTTTGGTTCACAAAATGTAATTCTACAAAGGCCTTATTTACCAAATGTATACTGTTTTCCACTTGAATTAAGAGAGCTCATTATTTCCTTATCTTTTGTGAAGATTGATGTTGTGACTAAAACTACAGAAACCCTTTTGATGTATTTGATGGTTTTTTTTATTATTGCTTAGGTGGTTGGACGAGTTCACAGCCCACCTGGTGTTAAGTGGTTACTGGAGCCCATAGACATCTACAACGTAAATGCGCCACCCACCTTGAGATATAAGTTCTAAGGTTTCAAGTATAGTTACAACGGCTGCCCTACCCTTCAAACCGAAACGCATTACTGCTTCACGGCAGAAATAGGCAGGGTGGTGGTACCTACCCGTGCGGACTCACAAGAGGTCCTGCCACCAGTAAAATGAGTAAATTGATGTGCAAAATAAGTGATGGAGCGTTTAGGTAATAGAATTATTTTTTCCCTACCTAATCGCTGGCAGCTTATGGGGCTATTCTAACTACCCACGGTGCAGTAGGTGAGCTCACGGGCTGAGCCTGAGAGAGCTTGTTGACACTGGCCATAACAAGAGCAGTGCTTCGCAGAATCTGCCACTGAGTCACAATCGTGACCACCTGAGGAGGAAATAGCTTTGCTTCGACGACAGGCGGAGTAATCGATAAAAACTTCGTCATTAGGCTATTTATAATTTTAATCATTGTCTAAGATGTAATTAAATTTTGATTTGTTCATCACAACCTTAGCCACCTATCTTACAGGTGAATTGAATCGCATTTAGACATACCTAGTTGAAGATTTTGAACTTCTGCGATTTTGACACTGCCTTTATCCCAAAAACATATAAATAAATAAATAAATAAATAATAAATAAATAAATATTTACTAACAATCACGCCATGTTAACTGGTCCCGTGATAAGTTCGTAAAGAACTTGTGTTACAGGTACCAGATAACTGAAATAAATGTAAGATTTTTATTATACACATACATATATTTAATATACATCCATAACCCTGGAAAAGACATTTATATTTATCATACAAATATTTTCCCTTGGCGGGATTCGAACCCGCGACCCCCTTATGTAGTGACCATGTCACTTACCACTACACCAGACGGCCATTTAGTGTAGTTATGTATGTAGTTATGTATGTGACACATTAAAATTTAATACACGTAATCATATAGAACATTTATACTGCTTTGGTATGTAACATCGGATTCTAGTCAGCTGCGCTGCTGAATAAAACTACTTAATATTCTTGTCTAGAGCTAAAGGCATTATAAGTTAAGTAAAATTCGATAGAACTCTTAGGGCTAATCTGATCAAGTGTTACTGGGATACAAGAAAACCTTACGACTTATGTATGCATGAATGAATATTTTACAAAGTACTATCGTCATTTTGTTTTTATTGCCGACCTCACATTAAACTGTTTGTGTAATATACATATAAAATTACTAATAGTTTGTGTATTTATTGGTTTATTACCATTTACATTATTTTATATTTATGTGACGGAGGTCAAGATTTTTAATGGGTCGCTGAGTCAGCGTAGTATTTATATATTTGCTTACACTTCATTGTATTTGAAACATTAATATTTTGACAAGAATCGACTAGAGATGTTTGACATAAAGGGCTAACTCTACAAAGGCTTGAAAATATATTATACAAACGAATCTTTGAAGACCATTTCCATTATAAGTCTTGTAGTAGAGTTTTTAAGACTAAGCTAGGCCTGACATGCGCTGTACGGCTTAAGCCACATAATCGAAACATTTTTATATTAGGCTAAATAAATAGGTCGAGGGATTTTATACGGGGTATAAGAAGAACATCCCCGAAGACGAACTGCTAATAAAATACTAGTCTTAAAAAAAAAAAAACTGATCATGAACACGCAACGGAACGCAATTTTCCTTATCTAGCGATCTATCTTGAGATAGTTAATTACGAGCGTCAACCCCACCTCTGAGCTGTTGCTCGCCCACATGTCCTGGTGAAACTGGAAAGGCCTCCGGGCCACCGGTAATCCCACAGTCCTAAAAAAAAAACGAGTGCCAGAGTTAACTTTTAATTGTGATACATTGCGTGCAAAATAAATATGAATAAAGTATGTTTATTTGTGATTTCGTGTCTGGAACCATTTATTAAACACTAGCGACCCGCCCTCGCTTCGCTTCGGAAACATTAAAACACACATGAAACCAAAAAAAAATAATTAAAAAAAAATTACAAAAAGTAGCCTATGTTCATCAGGGACAATGTCGGCTTCTAATGGAAAAAGAATTTTTCAAATCGGTCCAGTAGTTTCGGAGCCTATTCGAAACAAACAAACAAACAAATCTTTCCTCTTTATAATATTAGTATAGATGCGGTATCTGGTTTTCGTTTTTGGGGTTCGATAGTAGGACGGATATGAAGGACCGGTGTGACTTAATTGTGACAACACTCAATCGAGTCACACG